TATTTCGAAAATATGCAGGTTTTCTCACGACGTTTTCCTTCACCGCCGAGCATGTGATAGTTGTTGGAGTAAATGTAATTAATAATCGTCTTTAATAACATTTACTCGCGTCCGGACTCTGAGCTATCACGGCTCGGCTTTATCCTTTTGTTCCAATGTATTTTTATTGTACAAATTGTCCAGGTTTTTAATCATTTTATTTCTTATACTTTAAGAACTTGTATTGTTGGTTTTGGCGAAAATTTGATTCTATTAAAGGACAAGCGGCGTTATGCTTTTATTTTATAATATATGACGTGTTTGTCTGTGGGGAAGGAAGGTCAGCAGTGTGATGTGTAATGATCATGATGATAATCACGAATATGCGAACCGTGGTTGGGCCTAATAGCAGCAATGGTTTGGTCCGTCCGTCCGTCCACAGAAAAGTGGCAACGGATTTACGGTTACAAACGTCCATGGGTGACGGATATCACTTATCATCAGATGAACCACCAACTCGCTTACATCTTCAGATAAGTTGAATGTTTTGTCGTCTTATAATGATGCTTTCACTTCCGTTTAAAACTCATTTTGGATCATTTCACATCTTCGTTTGTACATCACTAGCTGTGCCCGCGACTTCGTGCGCGTGGAATTTACAATAAAAAAAATTCTAAAATGAAATTAGCCTAGAAGTTACTCTTTATTACATCAGCTATCTGCCAGTGAAAGACCCGTCCAAATCGGTCCAGCCGTTTCAGAGATTAGCCCCAACAAACAGACAAACAAAAATTGTAAAAAAATTTAATTTGGTATATGCACCGTGTATATCCATATGCATTTATGAAAAAGCGGTTATTTTAATATTACAAACAGACACTCCAATTTTATTTATCTGTATAAATGTATAGATAAAAATTACGCTTAGAAATAAGCGGCCATTTTTATCTCTACATTTTATATATACATTTCTATACATTTACAAGAGATAAATTAACAAAGCTCTATTGGATCACGCACTTACTAACGATCAAATTGATAGCATCAAATATATACCAACCATATTGGACTATGTTCGCTCGACTGCATAATTATCAAATTAACCTGGAACATTAAACGATGAATAGAGCATCAGTATAATATTGAGCAGTTGAGTGCATATTGCCACAACGTGATAGATTAATTCGCGCCAAGTCTGACGAGCTATTTAGGTTACAATTAGCGACACAGCTCGTGTAGACGGCGATAATGAATCGTAATTAGAACGGAATATCTATACTGTACGACTAGAACGTTTGAGTGAGATACCTCAGAACATCCAGCTGTTAAGTTTTCGATACTTAACCAGTATTCGACATTGGTTGGTTTTACATCAAATTAACTTTGTTTTTAAGTTAAACTTTTTACTAATTTCCAAAAATAGCTCGCCATAAAATTCTTATTATTAGTTCCATTTTAAAAGTGAAAAAACAATGGAAAAAATCATTTGATTACACAAATAAAAAACAATAAAATTAACAGTTGAATAGTGTGACACTTTTATTAATTTAGATATAAGCGATGCTTGTGATTGCATTTAAAACACTAACATAAATATGCCCAGTCCCACCTTAATTATTTGCGTTGCCTAAAGACTTTAATTTTCTTAAAGTACTTTCTTAAACGGTTTGTTACGGTATTTATACCAAAACCATAGTTATAATTATTAATATAAATAAGATACTTTGCGTGTCAGTATTTTTGTGCACCCTAAACACCGCTGTGGCCGGATAATAATTATTTGGGAAGTTGGCTTATCATTTTAGATTCCTCTCTGTTGCATAAAAACTAATTAATTGCCAAAAGAACCTTATATATAGCGCTGACCGTTTGTTTAGAATGTTTTTAAACCGACTTCAAAAAAGGAGAGGTGTTCTCAATTAGGTCGTATATTTTTTTGTTGCCTCGTAACTCCGTAATTTATGAGCAGATTTTGATAATTCTTTTTGTTTTGACGTCGGTTTAGCGCGTGTGGTTCCTAATTTCATTGGCGGTGGACCTTTGACTCCAGAGATACGTCAGGGAACTCCTCAAAATCGTCAAATTCTAAATGAAATGTATAGGGAATGAGATTGTTTTTTTTTTGCTAATAAAAATGTTATCGTACATCAAGTGACGGTCTTCCAATCGAACGTTGCATTGGGTAGAGAACTTAATACTCCTCCCCTACGCCTTGACATTTTCATAACACTGAAGTGCGGTCCATTTATAACTCGCCCCGACGTCTCCCGGATTATTTAAAGCCGCATTTGTTAATGGTGAGGCGCTACTAATGGATCCTCGTATTCCACCTGAGCCGATTGTGTGCCGTTGCTAAAGTGGATGGGTGGGGATTGCAAGGGATTTCGCTTAATTTACGTGTTTAGCGATGACGATTCAACTACACGTAGCCATCCTCAGTATTTGCCATTATAGTTGTTTTTTAGTAATGGATGAGCAACTGATGTGAGTCTTGTAACTATATTAATTTAATTTATACACAAGGAATACGTATTTGGCACCAGCGATCCGAACCACTGCCGTAAGGAAAAGGTTTTTTTTGTTTCAAAAAGCATTAATCTAATACCGGAATACAAAAATATATTTATTTATTTTGTGACTATAAATAAATTTATGCAATTTGTGTTTTCACTTTACTTAAATGAATAATGAACCTTATGAGAGTGACGTGTTAAATGAACGACTTAACATTAAGATGACAGCTAACAAAGACAAACGAGAGAAGACGATTTAGTCGGCGGAAACACATGAAGATGTATTTGTTTTTGGATGTCGCTATTATTCCTATACCATGTTTAAAATAACAAAGCCAATGTCCGTTAGATTACAATCGTTACCCAGATAACTGCGGTGCGCGTGCAATATGAACAAATGGCAAGCAATAATAACACTAGCTCCCACATAATCATTGAATATTCCATTTGCGCCACTTAAACCGGATCAGGTATTTTGTGTACGAGTATACAGCGTGTCGTTACAACCGCGACAATAAATGAACACACGTCTAACGCTACTTGCCAATAATCGTAAAAACCTATTAACGTTAAAAAATCTCCATAATTAAAAAAAAATATTTTTCAAACTAATTAAGTAAAAAAGAAACAAAATTTGTAACATCCTATACAACTACAACTGACTGATTCATACATTCAGAAACTTTTTCATTCGTTGCCACAGCGTCGCATTACAAGCCTTTCCTTCTAACAGTATGTTTTATCTCTTTTAAACTCATTCAACCCATTCATATGTTTTGACCTTTACAATTGAACTTTACAGTTTTATACCTAAGGTTGTTCTAAAATTGTTTCTTTTGGAAAATTTAATAACCAATCAATCAATAAATCAATTGTGTGTTCATTTACTGTCGCGTTTGTAACGACACGCTGTATATTGTCCCGATGATAAAATTATAATATTCTGTTTGTTACGTATAGTATTTAGTGTCTAATAACGCGTACATTTATGTAGGACAATTTAGTGAAGTTCATGCAAAAAATAAAAATTTTACTTTACTGTAGTTGCGTAGGAAATGTATGTCTATGTATAGTGCACTTACCGAAACATTAGCACAGAAAGTTTACAGTACACAGTCGTTCATCGTTCAAAGTAAACCTACAAACGCTAAAATGTGGCGTAACACGTGATATATGGCGAGTCTGTCACATCAATGAATATAGCGCAAAAGTTAGAAAATGAAAGAGTACAAACGCAAAATCGAGTTATAGAAAAAGTTACGCAACCAAGTAATACTAATATATCAATAAATCGTTTGCCGTTGACGTTGAACCAAATTAATTAACAGCGCTCACAATAACTCGTCGATTATATTTATAAAAAATAAAATGTTTTGCAAAATGTTGAAAGAAAAATTATATTCCACTATTATGATAATACAAAGGAATTGGATCTTGAAGAGAATTGAAAGGATTGGAAAGTTTTATTTTAAATGAAATCTTTATTTACGGTCTTTAATATCCGATTGAACGCACGGTGAAGAAACATCAGAACTATTGTTGGATAGTTGTTATTACGAAAACTGAAAACGGTGCGGAAAGCACGACGTTGTATGTCACTGTGATTCGAACCCACCACCGATGATCATGGGTACCTTGCCCCAGCCACTAGAACTTAACCGTTGAACAAGGCATTCGAATCGATATGAATATGTGACAATAACGCGGGAACAGTGCGTTAGTCCAAATAGCCCGACTGTATTGCTGCTTTGTGTCTAACTGCCGCCGACGTGGCGAATTCAATTAAGCTCTGGAAATCCTTAGATGTTGATTAAACTTACTCGAGGAGGACCGGTCACACCACGTATCAAATACTTAACGGTGTAAAAATACATTGAGAGGAAGCTATCTAATATACCCGTGATCTATCTATACTCACTAACTATATTAATGTGTGTGTAAGAAAAAGTTTTGTAGATATATGAACGATACTGATCTACTTTGTTGCGACATGGTGTATTTTGCTTTACCTAAGTCTCTTTTTCCACTTTGCGAGACATTAAACTAACACGAGTATAATGTCTCGGTTTCGCCCGCGTGGTTCTGTTCGATTTTTAAAAGGTTCGTTATCACAATTGATTATATGTTTTGTGCGAAATGGAAACAGACACGAACTCGCATTTGCAATAAACAGCTGAGGCCAAACTCTATTAGCAAATTATGCAGTGCGCTATGGGGACATTCGCGAAAACCGCCCGCGCACTAAATTCCTTCCCTTTAAATAAATAAATGAATATTTTAGGACACATTTTTACAACTTTATCTAGTCCACAAAAATAAGCAAGGCGTACTATGGGTACTAGATAACTGATAAACATACTTAAAAATACTGTTCTTTTGTAAATAAATACATATTATACATATATAAACATACATACACCAGAAAAACACTATGTTCATCACAAAATATTTTTCCAGTAGTGGGGATCGAAGCCACACCCTCTGGCGCAGGAGGCACGCTATCCACTACGCCATTCGGGTCGTCTTTACCGGTAGCGTCGAGCAAATATTGTTCCTCTCCTCGGCCAATCTCCTCGGCGTGTGCAGCGCAGAGCGGTAGTCTTGTAATGTGATTGCCCCGACAGTTTGTTCAGCTGCAGCAAATATACCAACTATGCAATTAGCCACCGCGTTGTTTACGATACGATCACGTCCTTTAAGCGTTTTACTACTGTAAAAAAATTATAACAGCGAATGTAAAAACACTGCAAAACATATGTATTTAAAATTTTAGTTCTCTTTCGTATGTTTTGCGGTCATGAAATAAATGGTCATCATGGGATCATGTTTATTTTATTGATTAAATATTTATGAACATTAGAATTGGAGTTATATTTTATAGATAGTCTTGCTGCTGCCCGCGAGTACGGCTGCGTAGAATAGGCTAATGGCGTAACATTCAGACAGAAAAAGAGATATACATAAAACATATCTATGAATTATATCTTGTCTTATTCTGATGTATAAGCTCCATTATTGTAGTTTCATTAAAATCCATTCAGTAGTATTTGCGTGAAAGAGTAACAAACATCCAACCATACGTACAAACTTTCGCCTTTATAATATTAGTAAGGATTAGTAAGGATATTAAACTGGGCGCAATTTTTATCATTCGTTCATAACTCTACTCAATCTCATTTAGAAATGAAACATTTATGATCCAGGAGCGATTCGGCGCGTAGGAGGAAAGTATACTTTGGTTAATAAGAGATTAAAATTAATCATTACAATTCAGTTTATTTAGCCGTGTGCTCGGTCAATTGAGGTAGTTAAACCTCTTTTTCTAAAGCAACTATCTCTTTAATATGTAATTAGTTTTCTAGGAAGTACAGTGACAAAATATATTTTTGTCCGACTACTTATTGGCTTTCATTCCGAACCGGTATTAGTGTTTTTTGACAATCAATAAGTAAGTGTAATGCTTCTATATTGAGTAAAGAAATTAAATTTGAATTTGTGTTACAAATGGAAGACGCATAGAGACATATTTATAGAAAAAAATATATTAAATCTATTTCAGTTCAATTAAAATACGTAGAAAAGCTCAGTGCTACAGTTTAGCTCAGTGGCTAGAGCGTCAGGCCGCGAATGCCGAAGACGTGGGTTCGATTCCCACAGCGGCGACAATCTTTTCGCACTTTTTCTACATTTTTTAATGTTCAATCTTAAGTGCAAAGATTAGCACTATAAACAATTTAAATTTCTATTTCAGTTCAAGTTATACAGACGGTTGTTTTTACTTAACATTCATTGTAATATAAAAGCGGACTTGGATCCATTCTGTCATACAATGGCCGTGTGCATTCGATGCGGAATATTTTATTCCTTTAAAGGCGATGGCATTCGATACTCAGTATACCATGGTACCTATTGAATTTCTGATGCACTTTTTACAGCATTTGTATGAAAATGTTATTATTCCTTGAAATGCTGCTACGTTTCGAGATTAATATAAAAACAGAGAAAGGATTGCTAAACCATTTCAACACAAATAAAACGATTTTCAGTCAACGATGTGCTATAAGAAAAATGATGGTAATAGCATATTTGCCATTTGAATATCTCTAATGACGATGAAGATATTGCATGGCTCTTAGAAAACTGTTTTCTTTTTTGACAATCCTAACTTTGTTGAAAATATTTCTAAAAGTCTACAGTACTACTAGTCTGTTACAAAACGTCGCTTCTGATTCGTTTTCGAAATTTGATCTCTCCCTGAAAGGTTTCCCAGTACCCCGAACTTTAACGTACGCCATTCGGAAAATTTAAGTAATTAAACGAGACGTATCACGTTCCGTTGGTGTTAAGTTTTCCACAGTTCACAACTTTCCCCCATGAGCACGGAACGCTCCTGTTAGCACATTAGGGATTTTCTGCAATCAGGGAATTCGGGTCCTATTTCGATGCTTGCTTATTCGACGGTTTCTATTAGCAGAATTTTAATTATACTCTTATAGGCCTTTTTTTCTATGAACGCATTTAACAAGCATTGGATAAAGTCATCTGTTACGAGTTAACTGTTCAAGTTATTTGGTTACTTCAATATTCGACTCTTTTAATGACCAGAATATAATAGAAAATTAGAACAGACAGACGTTACTTTTTCTATTTATTGGGTTTCAAATTCATTCGTCCATTTCATTAAAAAATAACCATCCATTAAATGTTGACAACAAACTCTATCAGGATTCAAAGCCGCTAAAAGTCAACTCAAAGGTGAAATTACAAATGATCAATGTTATTCGGGAAAGAACTATTTTCATATTAAACAGATTTCGTTTTGTAGTATTTACCGGACCGACTACCTTCCGATTGATGGCAACACTAAAGCTAGTGTCTTTCTATGTGGTATAAATGAAGCTGCACGAAGCATTTCATGGTATTTTTTTTGCTGTCAACAAAAAGTAGGTATACGCGATAGTGCTGCCCAATCGGTATCATAAATTAAATCGTTACAGAAGTGATTCTTTTAATCTAAATGTGATAATAAGTAATTACACCAGTGTTATTGTTGTACAAAGTAAAACTACGGTGATCTGATAGGAGTATTTACATTTCTACCTTCTTAGCTCGTTAAAACAAAATAAACCTAATACCATAATCGTAATAATCCAATCCAATCGGCTCATATAAGCGCGATTCAAAAAAGAGGATTTTTTTTTCCAAACACCTTTCGTAACGCCATCGGATGTACAACAGAAGGGGAGAGAGGCTGCCCTCATCTCGCGCATTCAGGTGCCGGTCGTGATTGGGCAAAAGCATCAAGGCGCCCTTGTATATGTAACTCGTAAAAGGAAGTGTTTTCAAAGGGGTCAATGAAAAGGAAAACGTTGTAAAGGCGTTACGCTCCTGTGTTTCAGATTTTGCGTTATAAAGATGCTCTTATTTGGGTCGCGTTCTTCGTAACAGCGATATGAAATCTACATTCGAACACGTAAAGTCTCTGGTAAAAAACGTAGACTAGTAACGTAGTAGTTTGGACGTAGAATGAAATCGTTGTTGAAAAAAAGGTTGTCTGCTAACTAACCTCACTGGTTAGAGAGGAATTTTAAGAATATATTAAAAATAAAGAAAATTAAATAGTAAAGAAACAGCCTATAAATGTCCCACTGCTGAATCTCCTGTAACGAGGGTACCTAGGCATAGTCCACCACGCGACCCCACTGCGGATTAGCGGACTTTACATATTTTCGAAATTTTTTTTTGTTATTGCTTCGAAAATATGCAGGTTTCCGCACGATGTTTTCCTTCACCGTTGTTACTTAAAATTAATAATTCCATTGGTGCCGGCACCGGGTATCGAACTCAGGTTGCTCGAGTAAATTAAAGGCGAGCGCCCGGACACTGAGCTATCACGGCTGTGCAAAAATACCTTAAAAATACCTAAAATACCTTGCTATAATAATGTAGTGCGTACTCAACTGGTCATATTTCATACATACGTCAATATTGTGTAGATAATTTGGATTATGTGAACGTACTTACTAATAAACTTACTAATAATAATAGAATTTGATACCCTAGATCTTGCATAAGTAATGCTTGTGAAACACTCCGATTTCGCATAGTCATTAAATGCAATATTGGACTTGTACAACTTTTACACTGGGAACTGCTTAACACGGTCAGAACTGCTACCGTTAATTTTACCGTTAAATTTAACTATTTGAGTGTTACCTTCATACACACAAGAAAATTCAGTTCCATTTTATCGACTTTTTGATAGGAAAATAGAAATTATTTTTTATTAAATACGGATCGAACAATTGAATGTAACTATACAATGTGTGCTGAATATAAGAATAAAAATGTAATTTTTACTAAGGAAACTTGGTGTAGCCAATGTTTAATAATTGACTTATCGCGGTGTATAGGGATAAGTTTAATTTAGTAATCTATTTAATATATTACCTTCTGTTACTGGCCTCTTTCTTCGTTCGTGTGATCAAAGTTGTGGCCGGCATAGGGTCTCTGTCTAAAGTTGAATTTTTGGCAGTCTTTATATTAAGGACTTAGTAAGTCTAAGTATTAAGGACTCCCATTTTAATATCTGCCGAATACCTTACTTATGCGCAGTAATATCGGTGGAGTTCTTTTCATCCGGCGTACGCCTAGCAAAATTGTCGAGCGCACCACCCGAAGCGGTTCCGTATGAATGAATCCTTTCATGCATTCAACTTGCAGACCTATACCCTCAACGGTGAGCATAAAACTCAATGTATGGAAAATAATAATCTATCCAGCATTTTACCCGTAGATATTTACTACATATTTTACAGGTTACATTAAAGCTCGCGTAAAATACAAGAAAATGTAATCTGTTTCTTAACACATTGAATTAAAATAAAGTAGTAATTGCAGCGCTCAGATATATAAATTGTACTATTTTTTATTATGTAAGAAGATGGCAAGCGAGCTGGCGATTCACTGTTAAGTGATAACCGCCGTCCATGGACATTTGTAACACCCGTAGTATTACAGATGCGTTATAATCTTTTAGTAAAGTGGACCCCTCTTCATGTATGTGTGTGTCAGCGGTGGTAACTTCTTTCACCAGATTAAATTCAGAAATATAACAATTAACGCCGGTCTTCAGTGAGGTGGGGTTACTTCCCCGGAAGGACCTACCCATTCGAGCAACAATGAACACTTGCTTGGGCCTACCACAATTATAAAATGTTTATATACATAATATTTTTAATGATTTCGACGACACACCAAACAAAACACTGAATCAAAAATTGAATTACTCTGTAAGAAAAGAAACGACATTTAATGTTATTAATCACAATGTCGATTCCTAAATCACTATTATTTTAATTAGCCGATGCGCGATCTTTTTCTTACATTGTTGGACTGAGCACAAACGATGTCTTACCGGGTTGGTAATAGCAAAGTGTCTGTCCACCATTTATGCTCGCTGTACCGTAATAGGTCTTACCACACGCCTTTATGCCTCTCATCGTGTAACTCCGGACATGATTTATATGTATAACAAGTGCTCCTCCAAACATCGATACACCATCAGTATTGATATTGTTAAAATTGGCTCCGATTAATATCACAAAATTAGGATACGTACCAATTTTTGACTGTATATTTGTCACATAAACCCTGAACAGTGCGGCGGAATAATAAAGCATGCATAATTTCGCTGTTGGCGTGTCACTTCAACCCGTGGGGAATTAACTCGCGCGATGAGTGACTAATGAAATTTGTTATTTTTGAGAATATTTGCACATTAATTGAATGCTTTATTAAGATTTTTTAACTTCACGATGTAAATGAAGGAATATTCTGAAGATTTCAGCTGTTTGTTTAAACCACTGCTGGGCAAAGGCCTCCTCTGTACAGGGGGTATCATGGCATAGTTATTCCACCACGCGACCGCACTGCGAATTGGCGCACTACACATCTTCGATTTTTTTATTATTTCGAAAATATGCAGGTTTCCTCACGATGTTTTCCTTCACCTGTGAGGACGTGCATTTAAAATTAACACTTTCATTGGTTCCGGCACCGGGGTTCGAAATCGGGTGGCCCGAGTAAATTGACCTAAAGGCGAGCGCCCGGACACTGAGATATCACGGAAATTTTAAGTATTTTATGTAATAAAATAAGTAAAAATACTATAAATTCAAACCAAAAGAGAATATATAAAAGAGGGTCATGAAAAACCGACAAACATTTTTTACTCACTTGTTGAATGGTGAAAGATTTATTAGGTTCGGTATTTTGCTTTCGGACTTGATTGATTCGACCATGAATGCTGTAAAGGGTTCGAAACTTCGGGAATTAAAATTAAAAATAAATGCGATAAGTCTGTAAAAAGAAATAGTGCAAAATGAAATGCGGAGGAAAACTTCAACTTCAACTTTGGAGTCAACAGACTATTGAGCTTTTCCTCCGCATTTCATTTCGCACTATTTCTTTTTACATTCGTAAGCAAAAACTTATAAATTACTTTCCCAAAATAAATCTCAATTTTGAAAGACCATTGAAATACAGTTTTGCAGTAAAGCATACAACGAATTCCTTTATCGTTTTTTGGCTTTTCAAGAAAAGTTGTGGTTATATTGTTCAAAATTAACTACAAATAATTTTTACTTGCCATTTAAAAAATCCAAAAAAAGCCAATTGTTTTTTGAAAAAAAAGGAATAATGCTCCTTTAAAATAGTGATGGCTACCGTAACGTAACGTAACGTTTGGCCGTTTCCTAAGCACTTTCACCAGTATCCTTTGTTCTAACAGAAAATTCAATCACAAAATATGCATATTTATAAGTAGTTTATTTTATATAATGTTGCATATAAGTTTTGTTACTCTTTTGGTTGATTATTTTCTACTTTAATTTTAGTTACTTTTATTATTGCACCTGCATAAAAATCTCACCACACCATCCCAGGCAGAGAATGCCTAAAGGCATTAAGTCCGCTTATCGTGTTCCATAATAAAGTAAATGCAATAAAGATTAAATAAATTAATAACAAATTCAGTCAAATAATTTGAACTTTAACGGTCGTTTTACCAATAGTTGAATGTTCCGTCATACGCGCTGTCATAGACATTGACGCGCGATCTGAATTTCAAATGTGAATACACGCGGGAGACCCGACGAATTGCATCAAGTAGACGTCTGGTTGTACGATACTCGGAATGTCTGAAGCAGCGGTAGATTCGTGCGGAAAGAATCCTTTAAGAACACCGTTTACACACAAAGTTTTTGTGTACACAGATTATATCTAGAGCCGTGATAGCTCAGTGTCCGGGCGCTCGCCTTTCATTAAATTTACTCGAGCAACCTGAGTTCGATCCCCCCTGCCAGCACCAATGAAATTGTCAATTTTAAGCGCTGACCTATCACGTGCTCGGCGGTAAAGGAAAACATCGTGAGGAAACCTGCATATTTTCAAAATAATAACAAGAAAAATATTTCGAAAATATGTGAAGTCCGCCAATCCGCAGTGGGGCCGCACGGTGGACTATGCCCTGATACCCTCTGTACAGAGGAGGCCTTTGCCCTGCAGTGGAACATTTATAGGCTGTTACTTTTCTTTTTTTTAGATGACATCTATCTATTCTTTCTCCTTGCTTTCTTTCCACACTAGGCAGTGTCGACACAATATGTCCTTTCCTTCCACTTTTCCCCTGTCAGCCATCATCACAGTACTCACCCCTTTCAAAGACAAATCATTCTTCACAGAGTCCATCCAGATTTTCCTCGGTCTTCCTCTAGCCATAAATCTTCAAACCACATTCTTATTAATCACTCTTCTAGCCACATGACTTTCATCTCTTCTTATAGGTGACCTATAAAATGTAATTAATGGCCTGTTTCAATATTCTATCTACAAATAGATTTGGTTACTGGGTCAAGTTTTGACGTAAGTATTATGGAGTTAATATCATATACCTATCGCTAGTAACTAAATCTTTCTATAGGTAGATATTGAATTGAATCCGGCCGTAAGCTAACCGAATTGATTTTATGCTTTACCGGTGTTGCTATACGGAGGTTGGAGACATCGTTAATCTGGTCACAGAATTTTCAATTAAAATGTGTCAATCAAGCGTCCAGTTGCACTTTTTTCCTAGAAGTGAGGAAAAAATTGTATTTCAAAACTGTTGTGAAAGAATATCATAGCCGAATTCCTTTAGTTTGGGGAGAAATGTACCCTTCACATACATTGTGTAAACATAACCGTAAATAACTCAAAACCGTAACTTATTTATCGATTCCTGAATGTATGGCTGTCAAAAACAATGTATAAACTATAAAAGTAATCCTACAATATGATGTTTTTAATTTTTCTTTGAAATATCTGCCATTATCACCCATATTTATTTGGTCCCATATGTCGTTCCAATAATGATACCTACAGTATATTACGATGCTTAATAGCTTGTTTAAAATACCGACAGGTCAGTTAGCGGCCAACTTTACGAACACACACACATGCACGCCACTCCTATTCGAACCCTTAACAAAGCGACCTCAAAATTGACCGCACATAAATAGAAGCCGCGTTTCGAAGCATGTCGCCTGCACCTGACGTGGGTTGTAATTACTTTAGAAATTGGAATCGTAAGCGTTGTACGTTCACTTGTGCAAGTAACAATCACATGTATGTATTTTTTTTTATCTAATGATTTTATTCCTTAAAAAGTTTGATTTTATTTTTATTTTTTATCATTGATTATTAAAATTAGGAAGCTCTCACGACTAGAATGAAACTGTTTCTAAATCAAAATCGATTTTAAGGTTATTCTTTGTAAAGTAGATATTTCGTAGATAGTTAAATATTTTGATTATAATGGATTTCAATATTTTTATTAATTAATTATCTAGTGCTGGATTTTTTGTATTTTTAACTGTTTAAATTCATTCACATAAATTTATCCCTAACAATTGGGTTCTCTTGTGCCTCGGACAAGACGTTTTCAACCCTTCAAATATGTTCGCAATAACAAATAGATAAATGATTCTATATGGATATGATACTCAAACATTAAATGAAAAATTCGCTTCATCAAGTTGTTCGAAGAACAACCGTGCAATGAGTGTCTTTATTCAACAACTATAGTGTTATTTAGCACGGTAAGTTATAAGCACTAAAAACTTGAGCGCCGTCGAGTCCGCCGCTAAGTTGGACTTACTTAACGAGAGTGCACTCTGGCGCAAGTGGTAAGTATTCTGAAAATGTGGTGATTAGTTGTCTTAATGCAGAGCGCTTATGAGTATAGTCCGTAATGTCTAGGCAAACATGCGAGTACTTTGTAAGTATGCAAGCAAGCTACGGGTCACCCGTTATTTCTGTATAGCGACGGAAATTAAAAATCTTATCTAGATTTATCTTGAATCGCATTAACAGCTTTTGTATAAAAAAAGGAAAAAAGTTTAAAATGCGAAGAGAATGAATAGACGAGCATCGGCTCAATGTGAGATGATCATCTTTCTCATTCGTACATTCAAATTAATTATTCATTTCATTAGTTATGCCTTATGTGTGATTATCTTAACGAGATTTAAATATTCAAATGCAACCATATAAAAACAGTACATTTAAAATAACATTATAAATTCGTTGTTGATTTTGCAAGAAGCCCTTTTTTAGCTGTGTGTTTTATAACTTCGCAAATTATGTACATAATGATATAATACAGCGTGTCTT